AGTTTTTCTGGGAAGTTTTCTTCTAGTACCTCTTCTACCTTTTCCCTCAGTGATTTCCCTGTCCCTCTGGTGTTCTGGAATTCCAGTAAATGTATGTCGTTTCTTTGCATTTCACCCGATTTGATTCCAATATTCATTTTCTTTACATCTCATCTGATTATTCTTCTAGTATGTTTTCATTTGGGTTCTTGTCTTCCAGCTCACTGACTCTCTTGTTCGATCTCTTTTGTTCTACTTTTGCTTCCTCTAGCATGTTGGACACTTCCACCATTTCTGTCTTAATATTCTGGATTTTATTTTCTTGGTTTTCTGTACTGTGGTAAATGGTTTCCAGTACTTTGTTGGCTGTACCCTGTCTTGTGATGTTGTTGTACGTTCTTATACCTATTTATTTATAGTTTCATTTATTTCTTCCATCTTTTGCATTTTCTTCTTTAGTTGTCTGAGTTCCCCCTCATCGATATACTTCTTCTGGCTCCTTGTCTCTTGGAGTATTCACTTTTTTAATGGCTTCTATTGTTTCTTCTACCACTTGCACCTTCTTCTGCAGCGTTTCAAATAACTCCCCATCAATTTATTTCTTCTGATTCTCTGCCTAGAGGGTATTTACTTTCTTTCTGGCTTCCATTTTTCCCCCCTCTCCATCATTTGTACCTTCTTCAATAGCTATTTGTATGACATCATATCAATAGATACTACCATCTGCCTCCCTGACTCTGGAATATTCTTTGGGTCTGCAATATGTTTTTTTTCTGAAGAAGGCTTAATTTCTTTTATCACCATGTTTGAAGCTGTCTGCTGCTTTCTTGACATTACATGAAGCTTTTCTTGGTGTTAGGCACTTTCTAGTGTGTCTATGTAAGATGTTTATACTTATAATCTTTTATTGATAAGTTGGCAGGTTAAAGTGTTCAATTTATGGGGTGGGTCACTATATTGAAAGTGCTTCCTGGGAAAGTTGCCTTTCCTAAAGTCCTTCTGGTTCTCTCTGGTCTGTAGTGCAGCCTTGCGGGAATCTCAGCTTATTGTAGTCCCCTCTCTCAAAACTCTGCTGCCCTCCTTTGTCTGTAGATTGGCAGAGTGGGACGAGACCAGGTGTTCCACGTGAGCAGTTTCTGTCCAGGGGGTTTTACAGGCACCTTTCTCTCTAGCACCTCAGTGTCGCAGCTTGTAGTCCCTGTCGCAAATTCTATTGACTTCTTTGGTCCTTGGGATGGCCCACAGTGGCAGGTATTCCCAAATGGAGGAGCCTTTCTCCAGGGCAGTTTCAGGACCTTCTCTCCCCCCACACCTGAAAGCACTGGCTCTGGGAAAAGAGTGTTTCACCTGATGATGTTTTCTCTCCTAAAATCTATTGTCCTCCTTTGGCTCTGGATTAGCAAGAGACTGATTGGCCAACTTAAGCAGTGCTTCTTTAATCTTCTCTCCTTGGTCTACAGAATGGCACAGCCTAGTTCCTCAACTCTCTAGTGGTTCAGGGGGAAGGTCCTTGTCTTAAGTCTTGTAATGTTTACAAGCAGAAGAAAAAGGAATGGTGGAAGGGATGACATAGGGGAAGGTCTGGCAGCCTGCTTGTCTTGGGAGCACCTACTTGTGTCTCCGTGGGGGTAAGGACTCAGCTCTGATGACCCAATCATTTCTCTTAAGTAATGCTCTATAAAAACTACCAATATTAATCCTTTAGGGGCTTTTTGGATGCTATAAATTGCATGAGAGGGGACTGCCCATCTTCTTCCATTGGAAGTACTCCCTAGTGGAGTCAAATGAGCAGAGAGACAAAAGCCTTTGGGTTTGCAGTGCAACTCACTATGGACTGTGCTACTTGAACTTGAAGAAGAGAAAAAATGAGGCTCTCTGCTTTTCATAGATCCAGATTTCCCTCTCTTCTCATACAGTCTCAGCCATATCCCTGAGACACGATGGTGAAGGCTGGAGTAAACAGATTTGGCCTCATTGGGCACCTGGTCACCAGGGCTGCTTTTAACTCTGGCAAAGTGTAAGTTGTTGCCATCAATGATCCTTTCATTGACCTCAACTACATGGTGTGTATGTCCAATATGATTCCATCCATGGCAAGTTCAATGGCACTGTAAAGGCTGAGAACGGGAAGCTGGTCATCAATGGGGAAGCATCACTATCTTCTGGGAGTGAGATCCTGCCAACTTCAAGTTGGCTGATACTGGTGCTGAGTACGTTGTGGAGTCCACTGGTGTCTTCACAACCTTGGAGAAGGCTGGGGCTCACTTGAAGGGTGGGGCCGAATGAGTAATCATCTCTGTTCCTTCTGCTGATGCCCCCATGTTTGTGATGGGTGTGAACCATGAAAAGTATGACAACTCTCTCAAGATTGTCAGCAATGCCTCCTGCACCACCAACTGCTTGGGTCCCCTGGCCAAGGTCATCCATGACAACTTCGGCATTGTAGAGGGACTCATGACCACAGTCCATGCCATCACTGCCACCCAGAAGACTGTGGATGTCCCCTATGGAAAGCTGTGGTGTGATGGCCATGGAGCTGCCCAGAACATCATCCCTGCATCTACTGGTGCTACCAAGGCCGTGGACAAGATCATCCCTAATCTGAATGGGAAACTTAGCGGCATGGCTTTCCATGTCCCCACCCCAATGTGTCAGTTGTGGACCTGACCTGCCGTCTGGAGAAAGCTGCCAAATATGATGGCATCAAGAAACTAGTAAAGCAGGCATCAGAAGGGCCCTTCAAGGGGGATACACTGAAGACCAGGTTGACTCTTGTGACTTTAATAGTGACCCCCACTCTTCCACCTTTGATGATGGGGCTGGCATTGCCCTGAATGACCACTTTGTCAAATTCATTTCCTGCTATAACAATGAATTTGGCTACAGCAACTGGGTGGTCAACCTCATGGTTCACATGGCATCCAAAGAATAAAAGGCCCTTGGACCACCAGCCCCAGCCATAGCACTAGGGGGCCTGAGAGAGAAAGACAGACAGACAGACAGACCCTCAGCTGCTGGGGAGTCCTTGCCCCAACTCGATCCTTCCACACACTGAGAATCTCACATCCTTGACACAGTTTCCATCTAATCCCCCTGAGAGAGGAGAGGGGCGAGGAGAGCCCATCTTGTCATGTACCATCAATAAAGTACACTAGACTCAGCCAAAAAAAAAAAAATTCCAAATATCTTGTTCCTCTCTGTATTTGGTATCTTGACTCTGAATATATGTGCACTGAATAAAATAAAGCTTGAGTAAATAAATGAGTTATATATTTTTCACCCCCCCAAAAAATACCCAACGCTGATATTAAAATTTTCTGAATACTTTCTGACATGGAAACAGCACACTCTTTAAAATTATAATTAAAATTATGTACTAAAAAGAGAAAAGATAATTTACCACTTAAAATATTTCAAAGACACACTGATAGCACAGTAATTAAGTGTCCATTTCTTCAGTGGGTGAAAAGATCTGGTCCCAGAACAAATACAGCCTCTGAAATCTTGAAGGGGCAATTCTCCTCTGTCGTGTCACATGGGGTTGCTATGAGTCGGAATCCAATCAGAAGCACCTAACAACAAAAGCAATACAGTATTTCAAGATAAAAAAAAAAAACAAAACAAAACACACAACCAACCAAACTTGTAATTGACTAATTAAAAAAACCCAATCTTTGATTAAAATAGTTTGGTAGGGGGGCAGTATTTATTCATTGGTAGAATGTTCATCTTCCACACAGGAAGCCTAGATTCTATTCCCAGCTAATGCACCTCAAAAAGGAATAAAATCTTACCATCAATTAAGTTCTAATGGATCATGTGTTATTTTTCATTATTTTTATTTATATTGATAAAAATGTTCTTTTTATAGTCCCTTGTGTTTTTGTATCCCAGTTGCATTTATACTAGTTCTCTACAGGCTTTGAAAGTCATAAAAATAATTGCTCTAGTATAATTTGATCATAATTAAGCAATACAGGAAACTCAGATTCCATTTCCAGCCAATGAAACTCCCGAAAACCACTACTTGTCTGCCATGGAAGTATGTATGTTGTTATGATTCTGAATAGACTTGATCTTAAGTTTCAGATTAAAGCAAACCCAGGAGCAAAGGCATCATAATCTACTACAGAAAAGTGAGCCAGTGAAAATCCTGTGGATCACAGTGGTCCAGTCTACAACATACCACAGATCCCGGCAGGGTCTCATTCTATTATGCACAGGGTCACCATGCTTTGGGGGCCAACTCAACATTGACCAACAGCAAAAAGACTATAATAGTCAAGTTATGAATTAATTTTTTAAATACCTAATTTAATAAAAGATTTGTTATAAAGTTTCTCAGATTGAACCAACTATAAGAATGACAGAAATCGTAAGAGTGTCACTAGAACCATTCAATTGCTTTAAAGGCTAAATTGTCAAAAAAAAAAGAAAGTTCCACTGAGAAATGTAAGAATTTTTATGTAGTCATATTTTATGTAGTTAGCAGAATGTATATCCGATACATACTCGTTTCATGAAAGTATTATTTCAAACTAAACAAGTTTAATGTGTCTGCTCCAAGGCAAGATCTTTTCAATTACTTGCAGTGCATCTCACAGTTGGACACTTACTAAGGATAACAGAAGAATAAACAATGCCTTTGAAGAGAAATCAATCATTGTGGACTGATGAAAGAACAAACAGGTCTCTGCTGAAGAAAATGATAGCAGAATGTTTCTTGAAGACAAGGCTGGTGCAACTTCATCTCATCTACTTTGGCCATGTTGTCAGGAAGGACTAGTCCTTGTAGAAGGACATCGTGCTTGGGAAGGAGGAAGATCAGTCAAGAGAAAGACCCTTGAAAAGACAGATTGACACAGTGACTGTAACAATGGGGTCAAGTGTGTTGGAGAGGGTGAAGTTGGCTCAGGATAAGTCACAGTTCAAAACAGTTCTTTATAGTCACTGTAAGGCATGTTCATCTTAACAGCACCTAACAGCATCTTTACTCTTGTTTCGGTTTTGTTTTTTTATAGAACTCCTGGGGCCTCTGGACAGAGGAAATGCACTAAGTGACACTTTGGTTGGTTTACCATTAGCACCTCAAGAAGACACTTTTCCAGATACCTTTCTTCCCTTTAATTCAATACAGAGACAACAAAGAACACTGAGTGGCTCTTCTAACAGGTAAGATTTGTTGAATTTAGAAACATTTTTCATTAATTTAGAATTTCATACTAAACAACTTTCATTATTTCCTATATAATGCTGACTAGTTAAGCAAGATTTAAAGTATCAGAAAAAAGTGTCCAATTTCTTATAGTCAAGGCAAAACGTTACATAAGTAGAAAATAGTTGGAATAATGCTACTATACCAAAATTAAATTACTTTAACATACTGGATTATATTCATATTTGATTATTAATATTTAGGCTTGTTAGATTAACTTAAATCAATATTATTAATTTTTATAATATGTAGTTTGGTAACAGCTCAGGAGAGGAACACCCCAGCTGAGATGGATTGATACAATAACTGGGGTGATGGTGGTTGACGTGTTGAATTTAGTGAGACTGGCTCAGTACAGGGAAGGATTAAGAGCTGTACATACGGTCACTATATACCACAGGCGACTCAATGACACATAACAATAACATACTGTGAAAGACAAGTTTGGAAGCAGGAAGGGCATCTTCTTCCTAAATAACATGCCTCCAGAAACCCTATCATAAATGCCGATAGTTACAGAGGGGTTTCAGGCCTCCCCTCCCATAGGGTTGCTATGAGTTGTGCTTGACTCAAAAGCAATCAACAACAACAGTATAGGTTATGATTTATATGGTGTCGCCGGTTATGTGCCGTCAAGTCGCCTGCAACTCATAGCAATCCTAGGTACAACAACCCTAAACCCTGCTCTATCCTATGTCAAACATATTGTCTCTGACACACCTACTCCTATTACCCCAGTCACTGAGTCAATCCATCTCATCGAGGATTTTCCTTTCCTGTGTTGTCCCACCACCCTTCCAAGCATGACATCCTCTTCA